GCTGGTACGAGAGAAAAGATCTCGGAGTAGAGATCCCAGCTCGAAAGTTATTACCGCCGAACTTCGACTGGAGTTTCAGGTTGTTTCCCTGTTATTACGCGAAGCGCGGCCCATTACGATTCTCTACAGTGGCAATTGAACGTGTGCGCGGCAAGTCTTAGGTTGCTAGGAAGAACTTTTGAAATGGGAAAAACAAGCGTTCCTTCCTCGTTATTTCGTTCCGGCTATAAGCACGGGATTTCGACTTCTTTTGAAGCTGCTCGATATTGCGCTAGAAAATTTTTAAGGTACGAGCCTGCACGGAGCGATGGCTCCGACTCCTGTTCCGATTGAACGGCTTCGCGTGTGGCTTCGAGGGAACCGAGTAATGACCGGCACGTTTGCATTTGTTCGCTCAGACGTCGCGCACTCGTTGCTAAACTACCACGTAGCGTAGATTACAGTCAGGCCGCCCTTCCTGCGATAATGCTACAGGCCAGAGGAGAGAGAACGGCAATAGAGACATTACACTTACACTTTAGATAAGCTCCGCGGTAGCATGATGTCGGAACGGTATCTTCCCGTGGTAAATCACGATTCGCGCGAGTCAGTATAAGGGGCTTCTTCGAACCCCATTGAAGATAGAAGCAAAGAGGAAGCCACGAATAAGAGATAGGTAGGACGACGGAGATACAGAGAAGACTGATATAGGTATAGCATCTGCGTACACGGTCCAGTATTGTCATGTAACAATAATTTTGTGTGTGTATGAAGTCGAACGAAACAAGTAGCAGAAACCATAATGTTCGGTATTGACGATTGACGCTCCGAGATGTCGCGGGTATCGTCTAAGACGTGGTCCTCTGTGAGAATTACACAATTAGGACGCCTGTCAGTAAGCTCGGACTTGGAAAGAGACCGAGGTAAGACACGGGTGTCAACGGCGCGAGAACGGATTATAAAGAGACTATACCCTGCAAAGCCAGGCGGCGGCCAGTTAACAGACCGTGCCTGTCGTCGACCAAGGATCTCCAAGTGGATGGGTCTCGTACAATGAGAAACGTACCGAATCGTGTCAAAGAGCGGATACTACGGGGGAGCACCTAATTAAAGTACCTATAAAAATTGAAAGAAAGCGTAGAAACGAGTGTCTCAAGCTAAAGAATAGCTGAGAGACACTTCGAGAAAAGAATGGTCCAGGGGGATGATCAATCGATACTCTCCAATAGGGATCCTTTCTTGACACTTTCAATTTCTGATTCAAGGACCTTTGCCTTTTCCCCTCTGAGCATCTCCTCGTCGAACAGTACCGTGTCTACGATCATCGTCATAACGCATCCGGTCTTGTAATATTTTGGAGCCGATCGAACTCGCCGTGAAGATTGTAAAACGATGCATCTCTGAAGTGAAGCTGAGAACAGTGTACAGTTTTTTACGTTTACGTTTTTTTTATCTCTTCTGATTCTTCCCTTCGACAGAGATCAGCATACGAAGCTCGATCGTCTTGTCTGGACCGCACCTTCGGATCGTTGACTTCCCTTGGCTGATGCCTTACAAATGCCTACAGCCCTGTTTGCAGATGAATGGCGTGTGGGTAAGATGCCACCGCTAGATGCTGGCGCGCGGCTTCGCGTGTTTTCAGCTTGTCAGTGAAGTCGCTCCGTCGTAGTGGGTACCTATACGCGTCGGACGCACCGCGTGTGCATCGTATGGAGATCAGCCTTGTGATATATGCGCCGCTTCGTACTAAGCTATTGCAGCGTGGACTGTTAGGCGAGGCACCGAGTGGCATAACTGATTGCTGGCGCATCCTGGATCTCGCCTTCCAAATCGCCACTTATATACCCTCCGTTCTTCTTCTTCCTGGAGGAGGTATTTTCTGTCGACGGAAGTACCTCGAAGAGGATGGATCGTCGGAGGAAGTGGAATGTCGCGCTGATGAGACTATCGTATCAAGATCATCAAGCTGCGTGCAAATACAGTACACGTGCACTTATCGTGCATGTGAACTTTTATTTTTTTTTTTTTTTCGAAGAAACAAAAATCATTTGGTACTACAAAGATCTGAATCTGGCTTTTACGTATTCAAAAAGTCAATTTACTCTGGCGTGACGTTATTATAGGATGACATTTCTTCCCAAGCGTGGTGCATATAAAGAGGCGAAAAGCGGATAGTAGCCGGAATCTGGGTATAGGAGGAGACGCATGATTAAAAATGCGCCAGCCATGGTTCGTGGCCGTGCTCTTGAACAATGCGTGTATGAAGTATGCAGAGTAGCGCCATGCGCAGGGAGCAAATATTCAAGTGGTGTCCTGGGGTAGGGGTGTTGCCACTGTGTCCCAATGTATATCATGACCAACATTTCTATGGTATACATGTAGAAGCGCAGTTCTGACTTCTGGCTCCTGCATCGTTCTCGGTATAATGCAACGTGCGCCAGCCGGCCACGGTTTTCCTTTTACTTTTACCAGCTCGTTTATGGAGTTTGTTCCGGAATTTATCGCCCTTCGAAATCGAGGACGGGCCTGCTTCTTTTTTCCCCTTTATTTTCATTTTTTACCCCTCTCTTTTTTCCCAAGAGGTCCGTGCCTTGAAGAGTCGCCCATTTTCGAGTGGCTGCAGGGGTGCGGCTCCCACGCCAGGAGCGATGTAGCAAACGAAGGAAGAAGAGATACGTAAGAAAAAAAAATCGTACCCATGATAAAACATGAATCTGTTTTACGGTCGTATTATTATTATTTTTTTCGAGATAAAAGAATTACTTTGCCCGTAATTCTTTCTTATTTCGGCGTATCTGTACAGGTAGGACGATTAAGAATCCGAGTGCGACTATTTGGTAGAGACAAGCCGCCACCGTCTTACCAAGAGCTAATATGTGAACTTATCCACTTAGGAATCCTCCTCAATGCCAGGAGTAGGCACTGTTACCAACTTCTGATAAACCGAGCTAAGTTTCGTCCCGGTACTTACGAAACTGTGGCGCGCAGTCTCACCCGAGTTGCCGAAGTTTATTACATACACACTGGGAGAAATAGCGGACTGCCGTTCTCCTTAAGACATTGATTTACATAGTTAAGTTACAGATGTTAAGTTAATTAACAAAGGTACCACCTGGTATACCCCACAATGTTTACGACTTGTACAGCACGTCCATGCGAATAGACGAATAAAAATTTCTTCAAAGCGAAGCAAAGAGATGCATCACTCGTGAAGGTTACTCTTCGTCAAGTTGCCAATTGGTCGATCTTTACCTTTGAAAGAAAGAGCTTGCGTCTATACAGGTATCGATTAGGGCCATTACGTTCATGAATTCATCCGGGAATACGTTATTTCCTCTCTATCTGGCTTTACAAACTTCTTTACCGTGAGTATCGAATAAACGTAACTATTTACACGGAAAGATACCTACGTAGCGTTACGGGATAGCCGCGAACGTAGCCCAGTGAATTGACCAAAGTGCACGATATATATATATATAATCAACCTCGATCTATACCTTTGACGTACCTCAACGTAATACCGTATCCATGGAAAATAGGTTTCCACAGCCTCTCGTAGACGAATGAGTTTCAGAGCATTCATATAGATCTGAATAAAAATTACATATGATATAGGAGATTTCCATGTATGCTTAATTGTCCCGATTTACGCAATCCTGGAATTGTCCAATTTTTGCTTTTTTATTTTGGTAATGAACTCGCCTCGAGTGTGGTTGCCTGGGTATATATCACAGTTATCATGGTAAATACGATGCCAGAACAACGTTAGATTTGTTCCTTCTGGTCTCTGATGCTTTTTGGTCGAGTTTGTCTTCTCAGTAAACAACATCTAGATAGTGTCGTCCAAGGGTACTCGACATATTTGCCTGGAGGTCCTTCGATCCTCTGCCAAGTTCCTGCGGGATAATCCTGAAGCCGCGTGAGAGTCAGGACGAGCTGTCCTTCGATCCCTCGAAGGGGTTCCTAGCCTCCGGCTGCTTCCACGGCGACACGCATTTAGCCAATCCCTTTGCCTCTTTCGTCTTTTGTTCTTCTTCGTTTTGCCCGCCTTCAGCGTCACTTTGCTACGCTTTACACGCCAAATTATCGCGCCCCAGAACCTTCCATTCCTTTATCCCGAAACAGAAAAGACTCCATGCTTCTCTCTCCGTATCCATATAACGATGATGAAAATCACACCCATCCTCTATACTGCAGTTCTACATGATACCGTTATGCACTATTGATGCGTGTTGTACAGAAATTACCTACTTGTAAACCAGATATAATAAGATAAATTCGCACGCTACAGTCACGATTAATAAAGCTACGAACGGCTTCGAATTTGAATTATTATCAGCCACGAGTGTCTACTAAATTGGATCACGGGGTATTAGATACAGATGCTTGACGGGGGATCATCTAAAATTTTTATTAGACCCTGCTATGCCGTAGGCTACGTCTTGTCTCTCGTATAAGTAGCGCTACATTCTCATGCCATAGGAAGCATAGCAAGATAGAGACTTCTAGTTTCTGTCCCTAATTTTTTTTTCGAATGACAGGAGTGCGTCATCGGTAGACCGTGTCGCGGGAAAATCAAAAGGGAGCCAAGAAAAATACGGGGACATGCGTTACTCGTTTTCCCGAGCAAACACTGATCTTGCTGGAATAAGATGTCTTTCCATCTTTCAAGTTTTTCTCATGACTGTTTACGAATCTTCCTTCCATCGAGATTATCGACTGACAAGGAGCTCCAAGATGTTGGAAAATTTGTTCTTGAACGGTAACCTGAAATTGCTTTCGGCTCACGTCGATCCTTCTGAGTGACGTATGAGGTCATGCACGGCTTTCGTATTAGCTTTTAAAATTCGCTATATTCCTTAGAAATTATATTTCTACTATGAAGTGCGCTGATAAGAGTCTTTGATAATGATGAAACTTGTGTCCAACTGTTAACAGGAGGAACGACTCAACGAAATTAATTGCTTGGTATTTTCAGCTCTAGGAAATATCTATTAATTATATTTTGGGTAACTACTCACAATATCGAAATTCAGATTTTCAGCAATCCAATCACGTCCCTGCTTGAACTCATTGTGAAGTCCCATTATGTAAAGAGTATCCAGACCGTCGACTATGGTGGCGCCCATGGTGGATGCTCCGAAGATACTGGCGCTGTGTCCTCTCTTGGAGATGGGTCTCAGTTCGTTCTTGCCCCAGGCGTATCTTACATAATTGTCCCAGCCATGTTTCATCATCTGTGACAAAACAAGAAGTATTTTGGAATTAATTACAATTTTCAATTTCTCGTATATTATCCCTCTGAGCAATCGTACGTACATGTAAACAGACATAACCTTGGAGTATAATAAATCTAATATTAATATAGTCGTCGTTATTCGTTATTTTTTTTTAGTCCAGTTGTAATTTTACTGACAGCGGACACGAATGGTATAATTAAATTCATTAAAATTATAACGACAAAGAATTTATCTTCGATCCTGAAGAACTACTTGTGTTTCAGGCAAATACCAGAGTGGCTGATATTTTATCAGCGTTGAGAGCTAGACGGGGTCCTGCTTTACATAAAGAAAAAAAACGGCATGAAGAAGGAAGCAAGAAAGAAAGGAGGGATGGTAAAGATTCGCTTAAGAAAGGGAGGGGTTAGGAGGCTACGAGGTAAGAAAACTGGTATAATTGCTTCAGTGCCGATGCACGACAAAGGAACTCGCTGGTGTCGGGTCTTTCGATGGTATAGCAAAGGGAGGTAGGGAAAGGGTGTTTAAGAATAGAAGAACGCGTCGAGAGAGAGAAATAAGAGGATCGCGAAAAAAAATTAGAAAAAAAAAAGAAAAGAAGAAAGATGAAGAAGAATAACGAGCAGACTATAGCAGAAGAACGAAATAGAGCTTCTTTCTTGGAATTGTACTCTTTCATTTGGGATATTTTTATTTCTTCTCGAAGAACACTTTAACAGTAAAATTGGTTACTGTTCTCGCTTTTTCAATTGTTTACGAAGTTGTAAAATTCGTCTGAATTACCTGTCTTTCAATAGTTTATCGGCTCGTCACTTGTATAACTGATAAGCCTATCTACAATTCCAGGGAATAGATAGGCGTACGTTCCCAACACAGTCCCCACGTGACTCCTATCTACAGCGTACGTCCATCTATAGTACAGCACCCTGTACGACATTTTCTAAAGTACTAGAAACGGTTCTGGTATAGGGCAATGGTTCCCTGGGTGCATCACGTTCTAGTGATAATTGTCCTAGGGCAGACTAGTAACTTTTCCAAGTAGAGACTGGAATGTGGTAAGAAATGTATGTATACGCTAAGGTATACGTACTTACGTGTACAGCAGGTATACCCATTTCACACGTAATAGTTTCACAGCAGGATGTGTCCAGTGTCATTTTCTTTAGCCGCGTCTTTTAAAACGAACAAATCCACAGGGCGAATTACTACGAGTATTTCCTTTTTCATTTTTTCTTCTTCTTTCTCTCTAATCCTCGTAATCGGCGAACGACTTGATTGCTGGCACTTTGTCGAAAGTACTTGGGATCGGTAGGGGGATCGTTTCTTAATGCTGCTGGTAATTTTCCACGGGGTAGGACTTTGTACGTATTCAGGAAAATGATTGCTTGCTGTACATTACAGAACAGAGGGAGTCGCGACTGATGGATACACGTTTAATGCTATCAGGGAGGGAAAAGGTCGGCTTGCCGAGATAGAGAGTTTGTAATTTTGCTTTCTTGAAATTCTTATCGTATACTGAAAATTTATTGGGTCGGTTCTTTCTTTTTTTCTTTTTTCCCGAAATACCTCCTGATAACCTCCAGCGAAATCTAGCAGGGAGTTTATTGAGTCCCTTCTCGGATTCTTGTAATTGCCAAGGCGTCGAGGGTCTTGACGATGAGTATCCTCGTTGACTTTTCACAAGAGGTATTATCCTGATCGTGAGTCGACTTTAGAACGCGTGAAATTCGCTACGACTTCAAGAGCACGGACGTATGGCAAAAAGCATAAACCACCAAGAAGATTCATCTTGAGAGGAACATGGGACGTTTCTCTCCGGGAAAACTTATTACTCCTGTCGTCGTTATTATCTTTACCGTCTGATTTTTCGAGCCATTTACGCGCCAGCAATAATGCCGCAGCCCTCGTTTCATCATATTTTTACGGTGGCATAACTTAGGGGCAATATAGCACAAGTGTTTCCGTGACACGTAAGTCGGCTGAATACGTCGTGAATTCGAAGGTTCCCGGCTCTTTCTTCAGACACAATAATAAAGCATAGAGAAACCGTGTAACACAAGAAAATTCCAAAGATTATAGCCTTCCATCGATACTCAAAGACTGTCTTACGTGTTTGATGACGTAACAACCAAGAAAAGTATATCGGCTTTCACGAAGGACACTTTTAATAAAATTTTTACTGGCACAGCAACCAAAAATTATTTGTTATACCTGACAAATATAATTTTTATTCCTCAAGGAAGCCACTGTACGAAAATGGATTCCAATATTAACCGTGGGAATTGTGTATAGTATACGTGAAAGCCAGGCTTGGGAATATACCTACGATAATTTAGGTTCTTTGAACTGTTCCCGAGAAGTTTCCAATTTCGATTGCTACAGGTAAGCCTGCCAAGTGGCGATCGGGACAGCCAAGTTCATCAGTAAAAAATGTCAGAGGACAAGGAGTCAGCAGCTGTTGCCTTGACGTCGAGACGCGTCGCGTCCCCTCGAAGGCAATTCCTTCGACATTATCCTTGTAATTGTGGCTAATTCGTTCAAAGAAACTACGACAAATACCATGCGGCTACGTCGACCGTAATCTGGTTAACGTCCATGTTAGGATTAAAGCATTAGCCGTGCCGGTAGAAAGGAATGACCAGGTATAGAGAAACAGGTAGGGACTAGGAACGCGTGGCATCATTCAATTATTATTTTTTTGCAGCATTCATCGAGCGTCTATCCTTTTAATAGCAAATAGATAATACCCTCGTAGCAATTGACTGTGGATTGAAAATGTTCGTTTACATTATTCGCAATTTTCAAAAAATCACGAAAAGGCCTTATATGCTTTTTTCGCTTGAATAAACTCGAGTTTTCATAGGCTTCTGGGTATTAGCGAAAAAGTCACATATCCATTATTGCCATGAAAGCAAACGAATAATGAATAAACGAAAAATAGAGACTTACACTGGATATATTATATGTATGTACAATGTACATGGACGCTGTGCGTAGGCGTACTTAATTCTTGCAGTTTTATTTCCCGAAATATATTAAATGCACTTTTGCAATTTGTCGTACCTTTATTATTCACATAGCCGATAGGGTTTTCAACGCACAACTTTTCGAACATGACGTACTGCTGCTGTAAATCACTTTTTTTTTTTACTCACGTTCTATTTCCAATTTCAGTGAACCGCGTACACGGCTGTATATACGTACGCGTGTTTTTATGAATTTTCGTCGTTCCACATGGAACATTCACTTTTATGCATTCCCGCGAAATAATCTCGTTGTACGGTAAACTTTGTCGATTTCGTAATTACAGGGATTTTATGAAATTATAATAAATTTATATTACAAAATATAATATCGCTGTAAATTAAGCTAGCGAATACAATTATCCGATAAACTATCGGCAAGCAACTAATAATTCCCATTACAGTGCAGTGCAGCAGGAATATAATCAATATATCAAAGTAAGCGTCTACGTACCTATTTTTCAATACGCTCGCATACCTTGATCAAGAAACATTGCAGATGGGGTAAACGACATTGGAGTACCTCCAGACTGTTCGTTATACCTTACGATTAGTTCTTCGCGAGGTCATCTCATTATAACGAAGCAATTTTTCTTGCTGTTTAAGCGTAAAAATTACGTTTAGATTCCTTTCGTAAACGTAAACGTATATAAGCCGTACGGGCGATGTACCTATGTATAATATTATGTACAAGTACATTCAGTTAAACTTCCTCAACCCTCCCTAGGAATCCCCGAAGCACCCAGGCGAGAACTCATCTTCACGGCAGGACGCGCCCAATTATAGTATCCACTAGTTAGTGGATCTCATTAGATCACGAGGATTCCAGAATCGTCCTGCGTCATTCGAAATGAAGATAGACAGGTAGGTATAAGGTAGGTAGGTTGTTAAATATATATGTGCGCCTATATATATATATATGTACAGTTACGTAGCGAAATTGAGAAATCAATGACCCTGTTGGACCCTTTTTAAATTTGTGATATCAGGTGAGAGTAAGTGGATATAATAAAGTGGGTCCTTAACGATATAAGGGTAGGTAAAATAGCTTTTATACCTGGAATTCGTTTGTCCCGCGCATAAGCAACTAGCTGGTACGAAAGATTTCAATTTGCTACAGATAGATGCACGTGCAGTGTTAGATATCCAATCGCGAGAATCCTTTGAGTCGACGCCAGCGGTGAGCTAGATTGCTGGTAGTATGAAGACTTCCTTTCGTCGTGTATATCTATATAGACTTATCTGGTCCCTTTGGGGGTAGCCTAGAAAGGAATTCGCGGAATGCTTGAGACTTAGCAATAAGTCCAGAAAGTTCATAGGAATGCACGACTTTGGCGTAGCAAAGACAGATATAGAGAACGAGAGAGAGAGAGAGAGAGAGAGAGAGAGAGAGAGAGAGAGTGGGAGATTATAAAATGGCTAAAAGAAAGTGGTAGAAGAAGAATGAAAGGGTTGGAATAGGTAAGAGAAGAAGAGGGGTACACCTGTGCGTAACCTAACCGAAATCAGGGCATTCATTCGGTAGGACCAGGACGTGAGAGCAGCGACACCATGGGAATCTTAGAGCGAAGGAATAGGCGGCGTCGGCCGAGACAGAAATTCTTGTTCCAAGTGGCACAAACCATCAGCATAACCATCGTCATTGCCATGGTTCATGGTGGTAGAGAAGCGCACCGCCCATCACCTTGTGTTCCTTCGCTTTGCACCGACTCACCATAATTACGGCTTTGTTTATTATTGTGAGGCGAGTCGTGCAATGTACTACCCCGGGCTAATAGCGTGAATTAATCTTTGCTAAGTGGAGCTACTGGCACCGACACCCCTATTCGCATCTCCCATGAAAGCGGTACTGCGGCTTGGGGTGCGACAGCCTCCTGCTCTTCTTCTACCTATGGTTCCCTGTACTCCTTCTCCTTCTCTGTCCTGGTCCACCATTATCCTTGTTCTCTCGCTTCGTCCAGCACCTTACGTTATACACCTCTATTCTCCCTTTCGCGCATACTCTCACTCACTCTCCCTCTCTCTTTCTTTGTGGTCCTCTTAACTAGCGTCTCATTAAAAGGAACCGTTCCCATTGTGCGGTCTCTACCGGCGATAGACAATACGACTTTGTGGAGACGCGGCGCTGGAGAGCCCTTTGAAAGATGGAAGAGGCTGGAAACGGTAATCCGAGCGAGAGAACCCTTAAGGCACGATCACACTAAACTGACGTCATTCGAAATGCGTTTGTGCAGCCGCTGATGAGACGACTTCACCATCGGATCCCTATTCGAGAGCTGCTCAGCAACGGAGGGTAGAGCGTAATTAGTGATTACGCGCGTACTTGCTCAACTGGTTCTCGACGGACGATCCAATTGGATGAGTTTATGCTCCTTTCGGCACAAGTGATTTTGCATTAGCACTCGACAATTTGACTTACGACCCTCAGCTTTTAACGTTTTCTCGTAAAAGTACTTCTTGCCAATTCACCTTTGTTCTTCTGCATATACGTATGAAAATATTATCGTTTTTTTGAAAAAAAAAAAAAAAAAAAATTATTGCTTACGTAACACTTCGCGTATACTTTATCACGACTTTTACCATCAGCCACGTACTATATGTATTGCCTGTCATATAGTACGTGGCTGATGGTAAAACCAACTCGCCCTACCGATTCCTTAAGATTGCTTTTAGGGTTCCGTGGGGAAAAAGGTAACGTAAAAACGTCACACGTCAAAGGATAATCATCGTGTGTGCACGGGACTTTAGGGTAGCGTGTAAATGACCAGTGCCATTAAGATAACACCGTTTCAAGGTGCTCAATCTTGAAGATAGGATCTTGGAGGCGCGCATGTAAACACAGATGTACCCGCAACGTGAGAATTCGAAGATACTTGACGGTTCCAGGCCATAGATGGAAATATTCATAGTATAAAATGACCCGACTAAAATTCCTATAGAAAATTCTTAGTCATCAATGAAATAGAGACGTCGGAGTATGAACGAAAAAAAGAAGCATCCAATCGGTGACTGTATTAACCAAACGACGACGGATATCGATAGTATTAAAGTAGCACGTATTAATATCTAAGCTATATTTATACCGGTCTACCTCATTAGCGAAAAAGCACTCGGTGCTTTATGAAGCGAGTGAGAATCACGTGATTACACGAGCGCGAGCTCGTTGAATGGAGGGAGCAAGGGAAAGGGCAGCAAATCCGGAAATGTGATGAAAGTTTCCAACAACCCTGTGAATCCGTTCCTGGATACCCGCTCCAGTTGGGGTAATGTTAATGTAATTGATGTGTTATCGCAGCAATCTTCTTACACGCTGAACTCAATGAGTATAGTAGACCGACCGACCGTCACTCTTGGACGTGCCTGTCCAGTTGGTATCGTAGGACTAATTTAATTAATAGAGTTGCTAACTTTGAGCAGCCGTGGTACAAACTCTATATATAGGCATTCAGACAGACAGTACGACTTTCCTAAGAAGCTCAACCACTCGGAAGGTTTGGTATCGTTTGATAGTACTGAGGTACACGAGAAGCCTTTGAGAGTCCTCGAAGATACCTATTTCCTGGAATATCCGTCAACCTCGAAAGGAAATATGAATATCTCGTGGTACGGTCTTCTTATATATAGATTTATTGAGAAATAGAGAAATACGTGCTCTAGGTTTTTTTACGCATACGTATAAATATACAGCAGAGCCTGTTATAGACTTGATTAATGTTTCCGACTTTCTTCTTTCATCAAGTTCATCACGAGAGCATGATTCCCATTTCGATATTGGTACGGCTGAATGACAAAGAGTGCGCCACTATCGATTTCCTTTGTCGGACTCTCTTTGGCCTCTGTTCTCACTGGTAATGAACTACACGGGAAATAGTGGAGGAAGGAAGTAAAATCAAAGTATAAAATTCCTAGGGTCGATGGTACCTAAACTTTCTATACCTGAACGTGTGTGTATATATATATAGATATATAGAGAAAGAGAATTGTATCCATGGCCTTTATTTTGTCGACAAATTCTCAAGGAGCAAATTTAAAAAAAAGCAGTATACTATAGACAATGTTTTCGCTATAGTCAGTGACATACGGTATCTATATATATATATATACGGTGCCACGTAATCTCCAAGCACAATCTTACCTCAGAAATGAAGATAGGACCAGGAGTCACAAATCGATGTATACGTTGCTAAGGATATCCTGCAGAACCAGAAACCGGAATGGCCGATTGTGCAAGTACAGTCAATTGAAAAGGGGCCGATAGTGGAATGAGAAGGGCCGTAAGGAAGCTCATAAATTAAGTAATTACCTTATTATCCTTACTTACCTGTAAGTACGCCCGGAATTTCTCCGAGGTTTCAGTGATCAATAACCACGCAGGCGAATACACCAAGGAAATCGTATCGGTCTTTCACAGGAATGTAAGTCTGTCTTGTTCTCTATGTGTTTTATACGTGCTTTAGACAAATTATCCTTTCGCGTTCCTTCATTTGTATCCACATCGGGTTGGGAATTCTCCGCGGTCACGAGACACCCCAGGGAAAGGAGCAGCCATACCAAGTTAAGCCCAGAAACCAGAAGTCTGACAGACTAACAGAGTGTGAGTGACAAAACGACCGATTGTCTTACGGCTCGAGCGAAATACGAATAAACTTCAGAAATGTTCCGAAGGTCCAATTCCTTGATGCTTGGTCGCATTTGCATACATTTTTGATGAGGTCGAAAGTGGAGCAAACAAAAGGAAATACATTACTCACCTCCTTGACTTTTTCACGTCGCTGATTAGTCACGTCGTCCAGTGGTGGATTAGGCGGTTTGACCACGTAGGGACCAGGAACTGGCGTCGGAGGTGGATCCGCCGCAGAAAGTTCGGATTCTCGATGCTTAACGTTCTCCACGTGTCGATTCCTATCCTCACGCTCGTCGTCTGGATCAGGAACCACGTTGTCCTGTACCCAGGCTGGATTCACTTGCTCGGATCGTTCCTCGGGACCGACGCCACGGTCAACGACGCTGGTCAGATCGCGACGCGTCACGAACGCCCCGGTTAACAAGACGATCAGCATCACGGACAGAAGTCCGCTGATCGCTAGTCTTTGCATCAATCTCATCTCGCCTGCGCACTTGCACCACCGGCTAGCCGGGATTTCGCTCGTTCCGCTCGTAGTGCCGGAGCTGTGTACGATTTTTGTTGGTTCAACCAGAGTGACTACTGCTTTTTTTTTCGAGTATGGATATCGGACAGTGAATTCCTGAGGTTATCGATACTCGAGACAATTGACTGTTTTGGGATTCAATTTAGAAGCTACGGCGGGGAAGGGAGGGGGGGATCGATCAATGAGAAATTACGGAATGCATTTAGGATTCTCCTTTGACTTTATCAAGGATATTAAAAGGGGAATAAGTGGCGAAGAGCTAATTGAATTCCCGAAACTGTCAGAATTAAAAATCCAGCGATCGCTTACTTGTTGACCACCAGTTGTCTTTAAATTCTAGCACCTGGACGGGTGCTCCTTGAAATCCTCGTACTCGCGTACGTTTCGTCGGGTTCTACTTCGCTTAGCAGTACCTTTCTTTCATTTTTTCAAATTTTTCACATGGACTTCTTCAAGCTGATTCGGTAACAGCTGCGAATAGAGAAAAAGAATAACGCATATAGATAAACGTCTTCGTAACCTAATAATGCCATAAGTTCGTTATCACACGCAATATCGTTAAAAGTATAAAATATTTTTGAGAGAATAATTACAAAAAAAAAATGACACTGAAAACTTTGTAAATTGTATCAAGCTCAGTATTTCATTTATCCTGGTTCGTATTCACAGCCAATAGGATGTCTTTCGGATTGACAAGTGCGAGTTATCGTAATTACAAGTAACCTCATTAACCTCATTAACCTATTCACATTTATACATGTGATCCTGTAGTAAAAATTCTATAGAAAAATTTGCATAGCGTCGAGATAGGCATCCCTTTTGAGATCACCGCGTCTTTCTCCGCGACCCTGGAGACCATCCGACAGACATTCGCAAAATGAGTAAAACGCAGGGAACGCCGAGAAGAGACAGAGAACGGAGAAAGGAATGGCGACTAGAGTACAGTACGCAGAGAGGAGAGAGACGAGAGACGAGAAGGAACGTTTTGGAGAACAATACATTTTCCCGGGATGGGCGTTCCATTACTTTTCGGACCCGACGGGCCGCCCCACTAAGGCTGAATTCATTTCGGACAATGATCGTAAAATACTGTACTTGAATTTTCCACACTGCGACTCTCGCTCGCGTGAGCTGATCTTTTCGAATATATAGCGAGCGATCCGGAAAAGGACACGGATTTGTCGTTACGAGTCCTTTCCCAAATATACCTTGCATATATGTTAGATATTCAGTATCGAGAAGCAACCGGAAATACAATATTTTGAATAAATTTGTTGCCCTCTTTGTTATTCATGGCCTTTACTTGTTTTGTCTCAGAAATGCACGTGTCCATGCATAGTAGGTATCTTTACAATCAGCCAAGATGAGTTCAAGGACATTTAAGGCGAATACACAGGAAACCTTATGCTCGCGCGAGCATCTGATGAATCGAGAAGCAGAGAAAAAGAGAGAGACAGGGAGAGAGTGAAAATGAGTGAATACAAGTAAGGTAGGATAGATCAATTTTGGAATGGCAGCACTGTGAGATGCACGCAAGAGCACAACGTGTCTGAGTTTAATGCCATGTTATTTCGGGCCGTTCGGTACGATCGCGGAAAGAGACCGAGGTGGAGGACGTGGAGAATGAATTATCGAACCCACACTGGATGGCCTATAAATCGCGGCCGGAGGGCCTCGGGGTTACGAAGATTGCTACGTGTCACATTCTTTCGGAGGAAAATCGCGGGCTGCGCTAACGTTGGGCTTTGCAAATTCGTGACACAATGAAGGCACCCATTAGCGTGTGTGCGGGACCACACACGGGATTTTAAAAAAATACAAAATTACTTTTGAATTTTCACATTCGATCAAGCAACCGCCACGTTTCGTTGGTCAGCATTGATTATCGAAGTCTTTCACTTGATACTCCAAAACTATGAAATTAAGAGATGGACCCCGTGTCCAGATACCTCGTGTCTGTACTGAAAGTAATAAATACTTAAAAAAGAAATGGGCAGAAAGGAAGAAAAGAAGAAGTGAAAAAAGAAGTTACTCGTTACTCTCGAGCCGTTCCTGCGATCGTAAAACGATATCAGCCTACGAATCGGCACGGGTACCGGTAGTAGGGGGGCAGTTCGACACGTTGAAGATATCCACGTCCATATCGAAGAGTTACGCATGAGGAGGAGGAAGATCGACTGGCGGGGCCTGAACGATCGGCCTCGATTTTTGCGGAGGATCGAGACGAGGAGATGCGAGTTCGGTACACGAGAGGAGGGGTCCTGACAGTCGGAAGGGCCCCGAAGATCGCCGCGAGTGGGGTCCGGCAGGCCCAGCGGGACTGAGCGAAAGGGCGTGGAACCGCAGGAGGTAGCAGAAGAAGGGAGTACTCGAAAAGTTTACGAGAGGACTGGTGCATAAACACGTCACGGTGATGCCCCGGGCTGCGGTGGTTAGTCGAGGAGCAAGAAGACCAACAGTTAGGAAGGTGAGCATGCGTCTTGTGGAGGGAGACCCTGCTCCCCTTAAATACCTGGTATTAAAAGCAACTGTAAAGTTGTAACACTATACACGGGGCTCTTGATTATCGATATATAATTCGCTTTGAAAAGATCAATCGTTCTTTCGTGGATTTTCAATTTCAATATCCTTCCTTGATGATCTTTTACGGTTCGCTATGACGGTACGTTAGACGAATGCATATTAATTTAATTTCATCATAAAAATATCATTTTACGTCAGTACACGTGTACTGGATCACGTTTTGAAACTAATTATTTACATTTTTTTTTTTTCTGTAATATTGGTAATAATTGTATTATCTGACGGAATGACTGATTTGTCGTAATTATTTACATTACTGCTCAACGACGTTCTTGGGTAGGTAGCGATGATAAAGCATTGTGAGACTTGTGGATTGGGCGGTACTGAGCTCGTGCACGTGTACTCGGTATAGAGGATGACACGTGCGTCATGGACACTCCTTAACCTCGAGGTTTTTCAGATTGAATAATTGGATTCGGTCAATTGAGTGACATCGGTTGGTAGAAGCTGGGGTTTGGATTATCCCTCGTCCGAAAGTGGGCCGCCATTACTTAGCTTTCCTGACTTTGTAAATAAATAGGGCAAAAATCGTTACCCACCCTTTATCTGGTTTACCCATTCGAACTTGGTTAAATTAATGACTGGGAATGTGACGCGGGGTCAGCCATAGGTGATTTTTTCCCGATGGTAACTGTTCAATTACGCTTCCGTGAAAATGGACTGATACGAGACACTATAATTAACGTTCTTGACAATTTCCAAATTATCGATTCAGGGCTCAATCAGAAGTTCCTGTTCTTTTATTTTCCATCGTACGAGGAACAAAGCTCACGGACAATGGGTTTTCTCTCGTGTTGCTGACCGCAACTGCGGGAAGTGCACGAAAAAGTGATTTGAGAATCGCGCAATAGCGACGACAGCTCGTGCGGAACGAATGACAGGATAAATTCGACCATTTTATTTTGTACACTTGAAAGCAAATCGATGCGTCTGTCGGATGTCCAACCTGCGATAACACTGAACACCATTGCGTTTCCAATACGGATGCACGTCACTTAAAAATAAATAGAACCGCAAAATTCAATTTGAAATCAATCGCGAAAATTGTACAGCTAACGCCAAAGTCACATCGGGCGAGAATTCGACGAGGAGCTTCATGCCGAAAATACGTAACGGCAAATAATAGGGCCTCAGATGTTTATTCGAAGAGTATCGTTACGTCACCCGATAACGAAAAGATTTTACGATTTTATGTCTGTCGCAGGTGTAATCCATCTTGCATAAGTATCACGAGAGTATAGTTCACCATTTCTAGACTTTCGATTATATACTATTTTACCATTGGTCCATGCGTAATGGGAAACGGACACGTTTGTTAAGCTGACACCAGCAAATATGTTGATAAAATCGTCAGTTAAAAGTTAAATCTGTTCTCAAAAGTGTCGTATTGATATTTCAGAAATAGACGTACGTTCCTGCTGTATAAAATAGAGCGATACTGTACGCAGACCTAAAACACTCGGGATCACAGAATCACAATGGAATCCAGTCCGAATCATGACGCAACACGAGCATTCGTGATATTTGCATTAATTTCGCCACTTTTTTTTTAACTGGTCCAATTAAAATGATTATATAAGCGCGTGGCAACAAACACTCGAGATGAATTCAGTAATTTATTAAAAGTGTCACTGTCCCGGGCTAGCACGAGTTCTTGAGCTGTATATGCGTAAGGCAGGCTCAACATAGAGGACGAAACCAAGTCGCGGATTCGAACCAAAGGTTAACGAGGTATTTGAAAAGGTTAAAAATCGTGCCGAGACAAGATAAGAACAGATGAACTATGCACTACCTAAGATGAAAATAAGATGATCAATTATCTCGTATCCGTCGTATCATTCCTTCGAACCCTATGACATTTGACTGCTACTAAATCATTCCGTCGAAAATTACCCCTATCCCGGCTGATTTTCTCTGTTTGAAGGTCAAGGGTCGAACGTAACCCCTGGTAACAGTAACGAGGTTCACGTAAGGACCGTCGGCGACACACTGGAGGTCGTAGAGGGTGTCTGGTTTCGCATTCATTTTCGCGCGTAGACACGAGTCCAGTTGAAGTAGGTCGTAGGACAGGCCAAGGGTAACTTAATGGTCCCCAACGTCAGTGGCTTGGGTGTTAGTCCAGAGTGTGAGGAACGACGCTGAGAATAGGAAGATGAAGTGGCAGAAGAGGAGCAAAGGGAAGCTGTGGGAGCAAGGAAGTATAGAGGCAAGGTGGCGCCAGGGTCTAGCGGAGGGAGCAGAGCTGCAGGTTCTTGGACAGTTCGTGATAAATATGCGGTGCCATGGGATTAACACGTTACCCGCATTGTCTCTAGACCCTGTCCTTAAAGCGCAAAGGTGATCCCGTGGTGTTCTGGTCCAGGACTACCAGGACTATGGGGCTACTCACTTAATTATCATCTCGCACTCATTTGTGAGTTACTATTGTGTCCTCCATAAAGAACCAGAATTGGCCTGCGTATGTAGCTATATACGGTGGCAGATAATTAATTACAGGGACGTAGAAACAAGTAGCCCAGGGCGAACGACCATGATCTCTATACTGTGATTATACGAATAAAAGATTTTCTAATTATTAGGCCAGCCTGCCCATACCCACCGGTAGCATAGGGTTCGATACGCGAAACTTATCGATCACCCATACCCGAGGTAAATACAAAATTCACAGCACGACTTTTGATCCACTCAGTATGTAATTATTAGTCTTGATGAAATTCCGAGAGAAGCCTCAATTACTTCCTGCGACACTCTATACTTCCCCCCGAAGCTTCTGGGCATCGAGGTACGTGAATTCGAAGCAATCCGGACGCAACTTACATCGATAATGGTGTAATGAGTTGGTAAACTAGTAGTCTGAGATCCTAGTACGTCAGAGGGCAACGAGGTGT